GGTAACAGATAGCTGCTTACGCCCCCTAGGGTGGAGTACGCCCACCACGGCTGCCGTACGATTAGCGATCTCGCTTGTCTCTCTCTATCTTCACACACTTTCTCGTCCAATCCATCGGCCCATGGACAAATGATTAGAAAATAATCGTCTGCCTATCGCCCCCATGGCCTACTATGGGAGCTGCCCAAAAATTACTACAGACAGTGTTTCAGTGCGGCAATGCATAGTTTCACATTATGATGAAATTCCTGAATTTTAGTCCGCCTATAGCCCCTGGGATACAGTGATTGATCCGTAGCGTATAGATCGCTGTTCCAGAGTGTCTTTCATTTCACACACCAGAGATCCCAGAGATAATGATGTTGTTCTGCGGGGAGTCCGAACAGGATCTTACACTTTTTTCTTGAAGCAAAAAGCTGTACTGTTAAAAAAACATATTTTAGATGATATTATGCCACCAAGCTGCCCATTTTGACTATATCGACAATTAACTTCCACGATCTCGAAGAGTGGTGTCAGTCTGGTTGCTAAAAACGGGACTGAAGAATAATCACAGTGGGAGATCGAAGTGTTCGGCGTGGATCTACCACGTCAGGATGTGGTGTGCATTTAGCTTTCGTTCAGGGTCGCACACGTATTGGGTTGGCCCATAAGTACACTCCTTATCCCTGGGACGGAATAGGCGTGGCATTTGAACATGGTATAAGGACAAAGTATAAAGTCCTCGTCGTTGATCAATCCCTTTGCATTCTATTAGGTTGATGCATATAGTTTTTCCCCCGACTTTTTTGTAAATATCTCAATAGCGAACCAGCCTGAAGATTAGAGGTATGCACCATCACCATCTACTCGACGCCAGCGCTCAGGCAGCTTGTCGATTCCATCCTTCCAGAACGACGGGGGCTGGGACTTGAAGAAGTCGTCGAGCGCCTTTCTGACCTGATCCTTTGTTTCGAACTTTTTTGGGCGACCATCAGCCATCCGTACTTCTCCAGCTCGGCCTGGGTCGCCTTTGCGGTGTGAGGTCGGGCGTTGTCATGGTGGAAGTAGATTTCCGCATTCGATCCACGAGTACGGTCGACGCAATCTTGCAAATTTCCGCAGCTGGGTCACGTATGTGGAAGCGTCAATCGTCTGTCCCTTCTCCAGCAGCTCCCAGTACTCCATGCCTCTTCTGGACCACCAACAGGACAGGAGAACCTTTTTGGGGTGAAGGTCGGCCTTTGGGGTGGCTTCTGGCTGTTCTCCTTTGTCGACCCACTGCCGCTTCCTCACAGGGTTATCGTAGAGGACCCACACTCCAGTGATCATCCGCAGTTGAGAAAGTGAAGCTTTTTTGGAAAAGTGAGGAGAGAAGTGCAGGTGGTCACCCTCCTCGAGAGGTCATAAGCGGACAGTTCATGTGGGACCCATCGACCAAGCTTTGCTACCTTGCCGAGCTTTTCTAGTCCACGTACATCGTCGAATGATTATAGCCGAGCATGGTCCCCATTTCCCTGGTGGTTAGGTAGGAGTCCTCCTCCACGGTGGAACGTAGTACTTCCAAATCCAACTCCATCGGCCGACCCGACCTCGGAGCATCTTCGAGAGAAAAGTCTCCTTTCTTGAATTTGGCGAACCAATTCTTGCATGTGCGGGTAACAGTGAGATGACGTCCTCGCCGTATGTATCCACTAGCTTGGTATGGGCTTCCTTTGCATTCCAGCCGAAATCGTGAAGGAAAACCAGGCAGTGGCGCAGGTACATTCTGTCACAGTGGTATGTGCGGCATTGTGGCCTGCAAATGCAGAGCGGGTGAGTGATAGCTAGTGTGATGAAAGAGTATCATGTACACGTCACGCACACGTGATGACGAAATACCAACATTCCAGCTTGGCTTCTTAACTGCGATGTGGCCTATACAACGACTTGCGGGGGACAGCCGTTGTATGAATCCGTGTTCTTTATCCCTCCCATACGAATCTGGTACCAGTAAAGCGTCCCCGGAGAGTAGAAGGCTTGGTTCACCTGGGCGGGAGTCGGCCCAGGATGTGATCCAGGACCGCGCGAGTGCTAAGCGTACCACTT